GCCATTTAGACCCTGACAGATCTGTCTTAAAATCAATGCAGATATTATTCCAGCCTGAAAATTTGTGAGAATTCTTTGAATATTGGCTGGTTCTGTATTCACATTGTCCTTTGGTCTGCATTAATCTCATTCAGCCTCATGGGAGGGGAAAGACTTGATCTTTCCTAGGATGGAAGAGGAGATTCTGATTTACATCTGAATTACTGCAGAGTTATGCCAGCGCAACCCAGTGATTTCAGTGAGGGTAAAACTGGTGCAGTACTGCCCATGAGCTTGCTACTGGCAGAAATTTCATTTGCAAATGATTCACCAGCATAAACCAAACCCATCCTCTTGGAGGTTCCTGAACCAAACATGAACCTGAACCGAAGTTACGGTCATTCCCTGCCTCCAAGGAAGGTCACACTACCCTTTGCTCATGGGCACAGGACATTGTCAGTGATCCCGTGCCAGCTGTGCCTGGGTGAGGAGCTGGAGAGCAGGAGATCCCGTCCCTGTGCATCCTGCACAGTACCGCTCCATTTTTCTTGTCCCTGGAATGCTTAGCAATGCTGGACAGGACCGGTGAGGGGGAGTCTAGACAGCAAATGCTGTTAGGAAGCAAAGAATTATACCCTGAGAAGTGCAGTTCCACTGATACTAGAGAAATGCAATGGCAGCTGGAGGGACTGTCATCTCCATGAGTCAGTTCTGTTTTGTGGATGAGGGCAGAGGCAGATAGAGCAGGAATTTCCTTTCCCTGTCACCTCCTGAGGTGACCCCCCTGTAGACACATGCACATCAGGCACTGTGCTTGCCTGCACCTCTCAGGCTCAGCCATCGCGCCTATGAACCTCAGAAATGTGATATGGTGCTTCGTAGTCCAATTCTGAAATGCTCCTTAGCTGGGACAGTTTCTTTCTAAACCTGAGCATTAGAGCCAAGCTTTCCTGTTCTCCCTCTCTTTCTATTGATACCCCAATTACCAGTGGCATCCTTTTTGTGTTAAAAAAAAATATTAAATGGATCTTAGAAACATGTTAGTGACTACACTTTTCCTGTTTCAAAAGACAATTTGTGATTCTCCTGTCCTGGTATAGCATTTGCTGTGTCAGGAAAGAGCTTGTGCCACTCAGATACCTGCTCTTCTCTGCTTTACTGGTGAAAGCTAATGACAAGACAGGTATCTGTCATAGGAGAAACAGGAGGGATAGGAGACGCGACCTTGTCTTCATGAACCTGCTTAGGGAAAGGAAAACAAAAGGGATTTAGGTATTTATTTGCAGATGACAAATATTATTCTGGAGCATCTACAAGATGCAGCCTCAGTACTTTGCTTGTAAATGATCAATTAAAGGGTTTGGTTCACTCGCCCACAACAGGCACTTTTGGTCTCTGTTTTACTTTGGAGCTGAACAAAAAATGCCATTTTCATCACTGAACATGGTGTAATGAGAACTGGTGGAAACTCTTTGACTTCAATAGAGCTTGGCATGAGTGCAACTGGAGACTGACTTTGGCTCTCCTTGACTTACACAAAAGCAAGTAATACATTTTATTCTCTCCAGGCCAACTTTGTTGAGCCAGTTTGTCCTAGTATAGTCAATGCACAAATATAATCTGCAAATGCACAAAATTTGCGCAATTGGTAAATTCACAAATATACACTGGGCCCAAGACTTATTCCTATACCTGAGGCAGCAGAAGGGCAATGTTTTAAACAGTTAGATGAAGGGCTCCTAGGCAAGATGATGACAGCAGTCACATGAACACCAACCCTCTCCCAGCATAGAAGATAACACGAGAAGACTCAGGAGACATGATCTCTAGGCACTGTCCAGTAATTCTCTGCTAGAAGTTTGGTCTTTGATTATTTTTGTATCTAGACAATACTCTAGAATAGCTTTGAGTAATCTCTTTGGGGCTAAACTGGTTGCAGAGGCACCTGTAAGTAATCTTGTGGAAGCTATCCCTCCAGTCACTAGCTGTACCTTCTTTTACCCCCACCAGTACAAAAAAAGAAAAATACAGATCTGATGTGCAAGACTATATTAAAAGATTAGTCAGCAAGATTTTTATTTATATTTCCCAGGTTTTAATGGAGAACATAATGTGCTATTCACAGACCACCCTTCTTCTGTAGGTCAGTCTCATTTAAGAAGGTGATAGAAGATACTCCTTCCTATAAAGTCTGTTCCAGTAATAGTGCAATTAATGCAGTTGCTACTTTAGATACAACATGCAAAAAATTAGGTTATGCAACATTTTTCAGTATATGTAAATAAGTGTTCATAGATGTGCCATGTTTATTCAAGTGTCCCTGAACCTTTTTCATTGCTTCTTTGCTTCTTGTATGGCCAGCTGGGCTCACATACTTCTCCTCCATCATTTCAGATCCAGATAAGTCTGAGAGAAAGAGAGAGAGAGAGAGAGAAAATAATTATATAACCAGAAAGGAGGAAAAAAAGAGGTAAAAAAGCAAATTAAGATATATTGAAAAAGTGGCTTGACTTACCATTTTACATGAGCAGAATGATCATCAAAGGGTTTAACTCTGCAAACTGCAGCAAACTATATGTGAGTAAGGATGCAGTATGGCCTCTCCTCATGTAAATGATGCTTTGGATTGTCTCACATCTTTTCTGTCTGGATACAGGGAGAACGTGGGTGTCTTGGTGTTAGGGATGAATTTCCTCTCTTGCTCCTCCTGTCTTTTCTCTTTAACAGAACCTTCTTTCTTCTTTCAAAATTATATGGATTTGTTGATATTCTCATAAATATGTATTCACCAAATGTATTTTTCCCATGGCATTGCATATTTAAAATCTATTGTGAAACTTTAGGCAGGAAAAAAAAAAAGCTGAAGCTATTGGGGTGGAAACACATCTATTATTTTTCAGAATAAATACCACCAACTTCATCTCTGTATATGGCCATTACATAAGGGGTATCTGTGAGATTCCTTCTACACACCTCAGTATTTCCGTATACATCGGAGGTAGGAGCCACACACGCACGAGCCTGTCAAGCTCAGAAGATACACAGGACGCAAGTGGATAAATGCAGCAAACTACAGGAAGTTAGAAGTTGTCATCTTAAAATGGACTTAATAAAACAAAAGGTGCAGTAGGGATAGAAAAAAACCCCCAAGCTTTAAAACCTTTAAAGCTCTGTTAATCAGCATTAAAATAAAAATATTATGGGAATCTATCTGGTGGAATAAGTAAATTTTTAACATAAACCCTTTAAGTCTTCATAAACTCATATGGAGACTATATATAATTTCATCATGTGTTAAAAATTTGCCTGTGGTAGTTCATTTTCTTTTCCCAATCATGTATTTACAAGTTTATTATGTTACTAAAATACCAGAATACACTTTCTAGTTATGTTGGGAGGCTTTGAACATATTAGCGGATCAGCAGGTCTCACCTCCTTTTTTTCTGATTTTTTTTTTAAGGAAGGGAAATCTAGAAAGTGAGGCAAGATCAAGCAGTAAGTGTACTCTCACCCAATACTTGCCTGCAGAACAAAAATGGAAGACTCCAGGTCTTCTGGCCCCAAGTTTTCAGCACTAAGGGTCCTCTTCATATTCTGTCTGGAGACCGGAAAGCTGACTGCATACATGAAGCTCCGCACTGCTCTGGGGCTCCATGGCCTCCAAAGGTAACCACTTAGGTCATTTCTGTTGCCATAGCAACAGAGGTTGGGGTTTTTACTGGGTGATGCTCAGCATGCCAGTACCTGTCCTGTGGCTACATGGCTCTACTGAACCCTCTGAGAGCTTTGTCATTGACTTCACTGGGGTCACTCCAAATAAAGATCCAGCCCAAAGGCACTAGATACAGTTTTTTAATGAAATCTTAAAGCATAAGCATCCTTGCCATGGCCTCCAGTTTTAGTTTAAAGCACCTCAGATAATTTACTTCTGCTGTCAGGAAGTATCATTCTTAACCCTGACGTAATGATCTTACTTTGATTTAGGTGCCTGATATTATCTGCCAGCTTTTTATCTTCAAATATCAAATGTATTTTCATTGCATCTCTTGTACAGGCCATGTACATATGACGCTATGCAGTAAGGAGAAACAAAATGTGTGATTTTTTAATTATTCTTCTGCTCTTCTATTTTTTAATCTCCAGATGGTCCCTGGAACTGGTGATGTTTTCTTTAGTCTATATTTTTCCTGCTTTAATTAGCTTACTTAACCAGTAAGCTTTAATTAGCTCACTTAACCAGCATATATTTGAGACACACACGTGATCAGATAATATCGGGTGCTAATGTTTAATTGCTTTCATAAAATTAGAAGTGTAGAAATGGTTGAACTGTAATTGAATGATCTTAGAAGACAAGCTGATCAGTGTTGTGACATAACTTGAGAGATTCCCAGGCTTGCATTAATTTCACATCAGCCAAGGCTGCTGTAACAACTGCGAGCACAATGCAATTGCTCTGTTAGAGAGCAAGATCAGAGCCGGGTGACTGAGATCTGCCATACATACTTATCAGCTGAGGGGCTGACACAAGTTGTATCACTATCCAAGAGCAGCGAAGCAAGCTATTGCTTTGATTTACCACCTCCCAAGAAAAAAAAATGCAGCAAACAGATCTTTGGGGGGATTTTGAAAAAAGCTGTATCCCGCTCCATCCCTGCCCCTCCCCAGCATGTGTGTCTGTGCGAATGGACAGGGCGCCACCAAAGGCGTCTGTCCCTTTGGGGGCTTTGCTGGGAAATGTCATGTAGTTAGTGTTGAGAACGGTGGGGATCTGACACAGGTTTGTATGGACAGGATGGCTGGATCAAGTCCGAGGCTTCTCCCTCTTGTACCAAATTCAAAGGTTTGTATTGCGTGGTGAAAGATCTGAGCAAGGCTGAGCGAAATTTTCAGAATCTGCACCTTCCGTGCATGTTTTACCAGATGGCTATCATTAGCTGGTGATGGCAACATCTGGTTTTGGTGTGGCCATAGTAATTTTAATTGAGTGTTAAGATGGAGAGGAGCCATGCAATACTTACAGGATCCCTTTTGACAAGGCCCGGGTTAGGCACAACAGCAATGAGGTGGGCAATTGTAAACATGGAGTTCAGCACGTAAGAAAAAAACAAATTCTTATGCAGTGTTATCCTTTGACAGCTGAGGCTCCTGAAAAATATGTAGCACACGTCGTAAATTAGTATTTTTCTTCTGATGTCACTTTAACAAGCTCTTTCTGGCAACAGTCTCCCAAGAATGCCTTTTGGCAAGGCGTAATCGGAAAATACATGCCTCGCACTGCAGCCACAACCTCTGACAAATTTTTGGTTTTGTTTTTACACCTGTTTAGTACCACATGCTTTTTAGACCATGTTGCAAACATTCTCAGCCCTTGATGCCTGTCTTTATTTCATGGTAATCGAGATACTAAGTGGTGAAGCAGAACTCTGAGAATTTAGATGCGCATGAAACAAGTAAGGCACATCAGGAATACTGCTTTATAAGTAACTGTTCCCTGGAGACGCAATTTCTCAAATATGTAGATGAAAATTATTTGCTAATTTAGGAATTAGTGGTGAGACAGGATGGGAACTTTGGGCAGGAATCCCCTTAAATTACAGGCGGATTTTTGTTGGTATTCTGCATGTTTCTAACTCCAGCTGAGATCCCAAACCAGAAGAGGTTGTTTTCCTGCTCAGAAGGAGCAGCAATCTTTTCTGAATGACTGGTTTTGGGGAGGGTGGGATTCCTGCTATTGTGAGTAACTGAATTTCACAAGAGAAGTTTGCAGAATTCTTGTGCAACCAAATCACGACTGCAGTTTCAGACCTGAAACATCTTTCTAATTCATACCCAAATCCTCCTGCCACCTCCTCTGCTACCCCTAAAGCAGAGAACAATGCCCCCGCAGCGCTCCATGCCCCAGAGCACAGCCCGGGGCTGGCAGGAGGTGATTGCAGAAAGGCAATCTTGGAGTTGTTAGATAATGCTGTGATGCCTGTATTCAGTGATCGCTGGGAGCAAGCAGGCAAAACCCGTAGGTAAAAAGAGCTAAAAAGAGCAAGTATTGCTGCCTTTTGCAGTCTGGAACGGAGCACAGGCTGTGACTTTCTGATGCTCTGCGTGTGGAGGTTAACACAGAAAGCACTTTCTTTAAAACCAGAGAGCTAATCAAACCAACGGAACCCTTCTCTGTTTATTTTTCTTTTTTATTTATTTTTCTTTTTTAGCTCCTCGGTCACCTGCCACTTAGTTCTCCTCACACCTTTTTTTTTCTCATTACACCTCTTTTTTTTTTTTTTTTTCCCCAAGTTCTCATGCTTACTCCATCTGTATTTGCCCCCATCACAAATCCAGTCTAATATTCCTAATATTTCCTAAGCTCTGGTGGTATTTATCTAGTCCTGATTCTTCCTTTCTCCTCATTCTCCATCACTATACTCTGCCTATACTATTGACCCCATTTTTCTTGGGACACTACCACACACCCATCACCCTCTGTCTCTCTCTTGCAGTCCTGGCTACACCCATCCCACTCCCAAGAAATCAAAATTTCCCTATTAATTAGAGCAGTCTCTTCAGCTCCTGGCCACAGAGGTGCTGACTCTTGTCTCTCCAGCTGCCTCTCTACACAGCTACCGGTACAGAGAGACAGTCTTTGGTGATAATCTCTGCCAGGTACATGTGCCTCCACTCCCATTCCTGTCTTTCCTCACTGTTCTGCTTGGCTTTTACCAGTCTTTCTCCTCTATTAAACTGGACTGTCCTTCATTGTATGTTGCCTTCATCTGCTGTCCAAGTTCCTTTCCCTGCCTGCCTTCCTCTCTTAGTTTTACTCCTGCATTGCTCTCCTCCTTTCCTCTCAGTATTTCCCACTTTTTTACCTTAATGCCAGCTTTCATGTTAAAGACCCATCCGGATCATGAAGTGTATATTTCCATACCCTCACTTTTGAATTTGACCTTCAGTGTTTGCCATCCAAATGGCATCAGCACCTGCCTAACTTGGTCCACACTGAGAAGAGAACATTTTAGTGAAACCAAAACCCTTACATGATTCATCCTCCTTGCTGGTTTTGACAATCATCTGTAATCTTCTCCTTCTCTGACCTCTTTTAGCGCTCTTCCTGGCCCTCTTCCTGATTCCTAATCATTCCTTCATGGTGTCTTTCAAGGCTCCTTGTCATCCCCCAACCGTCTTTCTGTATGCTCCCTACTCCATTAACCAGTATGCACGAAGGCATCACTAAGCCAGTTATCCAGGTGTAAAACTTGGATAAAAAAAAACTTGTGAGTTTTTTGTGCCTCTATCAATTGTATCTCAGAATTTCAGTCTCTCCTATGTTTCTTGTGGTTCCACTGTGTTTCACATTCATCCTATGTCTTCCACATTTCCTTTCACAGAGAGAGGTCCTCTCATCTACTCACAGAGTCACCATCACATTTGAGTTCCTATGTCCAGTTCTCTAGGATATCTTGACTTCCAAGGAGCTTTCAGCATTATTTTATTCATAGATCTCTACTGTGAATCTGTCATTTCTTCTCATTCATGAATATCAAGGATACTAATTTTCACCCCCCAGCCAGTTCTTTTCCATTTCCTACCCACTTCTTCAGTTTTCAAATTATTTTCATGCTTTCTATTATGCTCTCCCTTACCCCTGGGGAAAACTCCCAACAAATTTCCACCCATTATCCTTCTTCAACTCCCTTTAAAAGCCTTGGAAGCAATTAGACTGCAGATGTGTTCACAACACACCATCTATTATTCTGGCAAACCTAGACTTACTGTATTCCCCTTCTGTCTGTCTTTATACAAATGTCTTTGTTTTAATAACTCAATTGGAAGAGATTTGGAGCCAGGATTTCCTTTTTTCTTTTGTGTTTTATCATATAAGATAATAGGGTCTCAGTTTGCAATTATAAAAATATTGCAATGTGATGATGCATGCAACTGTTAGATGGCACTTTATGAATACTCTGTCTCCTGTTATGAGTTAGTATTGCTTAGTGATGCTTGTCACTACTGATTCAGTATTCCCTTCCGAACGTACAGCAACGTGTGTGATGCCAGATCATTATGAATCTTCATACCCAAAACTGAAAGGAAAATAAATCTCTGCCAGGAAAGACTTCTTATATGGGGGAAAGAGCAACCTCAGCTGTTTGTCGCTGCGTCTACAGTCAAAGGCTATTTTATGGCCCCAAAACCATCTCTTGGTATCTGATTGACAGCTTGCCTTCTATTGAAGGCCAAATAATCTACTGCTGTCATAGCCAGATGATAGAAAACAACTGAAGGTAACATGAACCCTGCTCCCTTAGAGCTTTTATTTTCATTTCCTTATCATCATAGTTTACTTTCCTCTTTATCCTCTCATTTTGCAGCTCTTTGTTTTAATTCCTTTCTCTACTTCTTCCTGTAACCTCTGTGTCATGGATTAGTCATGGAAGGGGAAGGAGAAGAGGAGGAAAGAGAGGAGGAGGTGTGTTACTGTCTGGAAGCCTGCTGCAAAGATGACTCTGTCAGTACAGCCTGTGACCGGTCAGGATGGCGTGTTGTCCATGACTCAGAGGTAAGAGTGAGTCAGACAGCCTGATCCTGCATCACTGGCTGCAAGGAAGGACCAACTTCGTGGTCCATTTTGGGTAGCCAATTTAACCAGATCCTGTCTTTGCTGTCCCAAATGAACTCTGAAGTCTGGGTATAGGATTCCAAATCAGATTAAACTGTGCTCTTCCCAGTTTTCTCAATGCATTACTGTGGGTTTGTGCTCTTTATCTTTACATAGATGGGAAGGGAATTGATTGGTTTATTGGGCAGAGTTTCTAGCTATCTCTGTATCTGATTTCTGCACGTTATCACAGTCACTCATCAAACAGCCTCTCTGGAAATTAGCAGAATTCACAACCTGTATTTTGGATCCACCTATTTTGAGCTTATAATCTTACTGACTCATAATCTATGCAACATCCAAGCATTTCATTTTCCTATGTTTCCCAGACTCACTCTTGATGGTGGTGGTATTGGGGGCTTGTCCTTTTATTGCCCTTCTTGTCTGACAGTTGAGGCACAGACATCTAACTGTACAGCCCTAATATTTATGACACCATCTTCTGGCCTCTCAATTTACTAAGCATACCATTTTCCAGCCTATATGGACACTCTCATCCATGGTATACCTTTCCAGGTACCAGCAGCAGATGAAGTAACCAGGGAAAAGCTTTGCATAATGTTACTAAGAAAACTTACTATTACAAGGCACACAACCTGAACATATCCATAGATATGTAGTACATATAGATCAACATTGGGACCAGAAATAGGCTAAGGTGCCTCATGTAAGATTTAGATTAAATAATACTGGGACTCTGAGGCTAGAACTGATTTAAGCACTGGCACAAGGTATCCGAGGTTTTGTGGAGCACCTTTCACTGCAGATTTTTAGAGCAAGGAAACCATTCCTTGTGCACTCTTTTTATCCCCAAATGCATGCAATTACTATGCATGCGTGTGCTGGAATTTTGTGTTTGCTATGTACTGATGGATTCTACAAATCTTCATATGTGTATCTGCGGCCAAAAAACCACATTTCAGAAATTCGGATAATTAAGTTGATGATATCTCACAATCCGGCATGTAAAGCTTGTCACATTGCATTGAAGATTTTCACTTATGTTGCAGAACATAAAATCTACAAATTCCAAGACACTTAAATGCCAGTTAGCTTAGACACATAAAAACTCTGTACTAAAAGAGTCATAGTAAGTGTTTAAAACTAAATGGTCATGATAGAAAATGAACTGGCTGTACTTCATTATGATTCCTTGGCCTTACAGGTGATAAAAAGGAATAGCTGAATGTTTACAAAAATACCCTTTGTTTTAAGTTAAGGCTGCAAGACAAAGGAATATGAAAAATGACCAGATTTGGTCATTTCAGACTTGGAAATTTCAGTGTGAAAAACTGCTTTGGAAAATAAAGGTTCTACAGAAAATGAATCCTGGTGTTTTTGAAAATAAGGCATATTTACATTCATGATTTGGCATGACTGGGAAGGTATTAATTTAGAATCTGCTCATAATTCACAGTTACTATTTTGGTCACTAAGATCTGAAAAAATGCATTTGATGTATTTGTTAAATTTGAGTTGGGAGATTTGAGAGCTTATTTTTCCAGAAACATCAACCAAATAAAAACAAATGATAAACTCTGAGCAGTATACAAAAGTCATGCTCTTTATCTGTCTGCTGGAAAGATAATCAATCCCTAGAAGTATTCTACACTTCTGGATTGCAAATATGTCTCTGAGCTGCTGAAATAGATTGGTGAATACACAAAAGAATATATCTTTCTGTGAGGATGATGATAAAGAAACAAAAAATTGTATTTTGGATGCTCATCAAGGGCTTGAATCTTACCTGGCCTTTTATATTACCTTGCAGTTGTCTCCAGATATACTCTACTGATGGTGAGCATTTCCCTATCTCCGGTCATGAACTGAGGATCTGGCTATCTGATTACAACTAACTGATGCACTTTTGCTGAAATCAGTAAGATACCATCCCATTTGGGTCATTATACTGGATTTATCATACTGTTTCATCAAAGTATCTGTGAATGGTCATTACAACCCTGATTTCTGAGTGTCCTGGAAGTTTGCATTTTATAGTAATGTTACAAAAGTGAAACACCTTAAAAAGATTGTTTAAGAGCTAGAAGACTATAGCTTATGCAAGTCATCATAGCTCTGGATGTACAATAGCTCAGGATCTTGTCCAGTGTTTATTCTTGAATATTTTCCCCAGTGGCCTTTGATGTCTTCTAGTGCTTACCATTTCCATGAGTTGAAAACTGAAGGGTGTTCCCAGACAGCCCTTCATTACTGATTGCGACTGAAGCTGTAACTACATGTCTGATGGCAAACCTGAGCTCCCTCTGCTCCTTCACTAAAAACACATTATAATAAATAGTGTGCAGACAGGTTCACTAAACGACAAGATTTAAATGCTCTAGTTAAGTTGCCATATAGTAGTTGCAATGCTTTCAGTGAATATCCATTTAGTCTCCTTTGAATACCGCACATAACTGTTTTTCCTTTTAATGTCGATGACAGGATACGCACTAGTGGCAGATTCACGCTTAGTGCTGAGTCCTGTAAGCACCTACTCAAGTCAATAGCTCAGTCCTTCAGCATCGGATGAAGGTATTCCTGTCCTTCAGGAGCCGGGGGCTCCAAGCCACTGCTCTGTGCAGTCACTGCACCTGCCAGGGCCTGGACATGCCCTTTAAGGAACAACAGGCAACTGGTAAATGAAGGGCCTTACTGCATCCTGTTACACCCTTTCCCTATGGGCTGCACTTTTACACCAGTCTTGATACATCTAACAGCATGATCTTGGCTACGCACCACTGGGAGATGTCCCATTGGTGAGGGGATCCCATGCTAATACTTTCTTTACCAGGATTATATAAAAAGGGAGATGTTTCTCACTGCCATGTCCCCTTCCAAGCTTTTCTTTGGTTACCACTTGAGATCCCTCAGGGAAAGAAGAGAGTGTAAGAAACACTTACTTGAAATAGAAGAAAATTGCCAAGGAAATCAACAGGGATGCTATAGACAAAGCATGGCCAACAATTGCCATATAATAAAGTATGAACGCCATCTGCAATTTAACAAAAAGAAAAGGCAAACATGAACAATTTGTAGACACTCAGGTTTTCTTCTCATTGCGGAAGAATCTACAAAATCAATCTCCCATTTTGTATTTCTTTTCTTTCAAAGGTTCTTTTTCAATATACTTTTAATATCAGCAATCTATTAAATAGCGTGACTCATGGTCTAAAGAGGAGATAAGTGTTTCTTATGTAAGTTGATCTGCTTCTCCTGCACTGACGTAACTGGTGAGATCCCTGCTAACACTACGCATCACTAACTTTCCTAAGCTCTAGGAGAGCATAGCAGACATCATAACACATTCAGATTTTCAAAAAGTCCATTACAACTTTATACACACAAAAAATTATTAAAGAAAATAGGTCGGCGCAGGATTAGTAGAAAGCTTTTATGGTTTGAAAGCAGCTTAAACAACAGGAAGCAAAAGCTTAATGGTCACTTTTGGAGATGAGTCAGTGGTTGCGTGCCCTCAGGACTGGTATCGGGGCTGGCTTTTTGTTCAACATATTCATCAGTGACCTGATGCAGAGAAATCTCTAAGTTTTCAGGTGATGCTTAGATCTTCCAGATAATAGTGAGTAATTCCAGAAGGGCCCCACATAACTGAAGGGACAAGAAGGTGCTACATGAGCTTTAATACAGAAAAAAGTGAGGTGATACACCTAGAGACAAATGATCTAAACCCTGCCTACACAATGCTGAACTCAGAACTGGAAACCAAACTCAGGAAGGAGATTTTGGCCAGTTCTCTGAACCATTGACTTAGCGTGTAATGACAGCCAAAAAGTCAACACAACGCTGGATATCAAGAAAGGCACTGAGGGTAGAACATTATTGTGCTTCTGTTTAAAGTTTACATCACATGTCTTAAATGCATGTGTGTTTCTTGTCTCCACATCTTATGGACATGGCAGAACTAGGAAAGGTGCAAAGAAGGCAACTAAAATATCTGAGGCAGAGTAGCTGTGTTATGACAAGTGGGTACAAATGCTGGGATTCTCCCCTTTGGAGAGGAGAAGTCAGAGGAGGCTTATGATTAAGGCCTACAGAGTCATGAAAGCAGTAGATGAGAAGAAAATTATCCTCATCTCCTACCACACCAGAACAGCACACCCTGAGACAAATTCTGGTTCACACTGGTGTGAACCTTGCTATCGGGCAACTAGATGGTCTTACAGTGCTGGGAAGTGTATGCACAAACAGATAATCAGGCTTTCATTTAGACTAATATCAGTGAAACCTAAGATAGGCCTATCCATATTTAATATGCCAATAGTGAAACAATCTCAGGACAGCACCTGGGCTTCAGAATGCTGCAATACGTAAATGTCATACTTTGGTCTCAGTCAAGCTCTTAAGCATCACCCAGCTATCAGAAGACTGCAGGAGGCTAAATGGCATGCCAGGCTTCACCACTGCCTTCTTCTCTGAAAGCACTAACATAGTATGAGTCTGTCCTGAAAAAAAAAAGACTAGATAGCAGGCCTTAGTTCCTCTGATGGGTTTATTTTGTTTTCAGCTTCACCTCATTCATTTTTCTTTTGTTATGCATGAGCAATTTTCCCTTGTTCAATGATTACATAAATTGCTTTCTGTAGCCCTAAGTTTTGCCACCCACATTTTTTTGGTGTTTCCAAGTAATTTTAAAATTTCATTTGAAAACAAATATGAATACAATTCAGAAAACAAAGTCTTTCCACTTAGCAAAGGTGCACATCTTCTTATCTAATTTCTTCTTCAGTAATTTTACAACTTTGGAATCAGCTCCTGCTTTCATTAATGTAAGCAGTGGTGGCCTGATTCAGATTTAAACAAAAGTCACATTTATACCATCCTGACCATATAGAACAGACATGATGAGTGTAAATATCATTCACCAAGTTATGGAAATTTATGCATGTTTACTGTAATACCCTAGGTTGCCTAGTTTTCCTCCACAAAGACTAACCACAACATCGCTAGTGAGCACAAATGCTTGACAGCTTGTTCTGAGAGCACCAGCAACCCCAGAGAGGAAAGACCAGAGTGCAGAGATGAGACAACTTTCTGAATACAGAGTAGTGGCAGAGGTTTCTACCTATGTGCACGCGACATTTCTTCTACTCCATACTAAGTGGTTGCTATGGTTTTTCATGATATTAGATTGATGGAATTTTTAAGCCTGAATTTAATTTACAGATGAACTGTTCAAAAAACGTGTTGTTTTGCTGCCTGTCCTGCATACAACCCTTACCCTGAAACAGGTACAAGTAGGAAAGACTTCCAGATAGCTACGTGCAAGTCTATGTGCACCCCAGAGGTTATTCAAACTATCTACTTTTTAGCATACAACTGCTAAATCAGTTTAATTGTGTATCTCAGTCTCAGCAATAGCATTTTTGATTACTCCATGCAAACTCACTATGGTAACTACTCAAAAAAGCTTTCCAAATATAAGAACGAAGACAGATCAAAATGGACTGAACCATCAGCTAACAAAGCATATGGTCTACCACCTCATTTTTAAGATCTGGCTGCAATATTTTTAAGTGACCCGTCTCAAAAGTATGGCATGTTGGTATTTCCATTTAACTTGAAACAAATAATGAACTATTTTATTAATTTCTGCACTCCTTGAACTGTCAGTCTGTCACATCCCTTCTGACATATAGGACTTAAAACATGCTGACTCACCAAATTTTTAGCTTATGCAGATTTTGTCATCCTAGGCTTAGAAAACTTGTAAAAGAAACACTTAAATGTTCATTTTTGTCCCCCTAGAATTCTTCACTTAAGGAAAGCGAATTCTCTTATAGGAATACCTCCTACTCAGTTAATCATATTAAATGTAGGTATATGGAAATAGTCTACAAATGAAGCATACTCCTGTTTTTGAAGACCTGGATTGAAGGTCATACACTAACTTGGCATTTCTGTAAAGATAGATTCTTTCTGCATTTTCCATCATTTATTGTTTCAGAAGAATCTTGATGTACGTATAATTTTCCTTTGTGTTCTATCTGCACTTTGCTTGAATGACATTCAAAATTGTTCTTCTGGAAGGCATGGATAATAGGTAACAGAACTACATTTTTTGCCTCCCTACATGGGCCAACATCTGGAAAAATTATATTTTTATGGTGCTTCCATTTAATGCCTCTGTGAGCTCAGATTGTTACTATTATTCTCTCTTTGTCACATAGGTGAGCCCCATTTTACCATGATGGTTCCTCATGCTGCAAAAACTTTTAGAATTAACCTCCTGCCCAGTCCAGTAGACTTTTCCAAGGCCCTTTAGTCTGGATCATTACTAAATATAACCACATACTGCTTTTTGGCTGCATAGAAAAAGATCCTCCAACACAAACCCCAAATCAAATCACTTTTTGACTCTTTTCCTTCAGCAATTCCAAATAGTCACAAATTATTCTGTCACAAATCTGTAAGTAGATTTTCCTGGAGCTCCACTCATATTTGAGAAATATGTTTATTTTCATGAGCTTCCCTAACTTAATTTTTTTTTAAGCTTTTCTCAGATTTCTCTCTCCTTGTTTCTTTCTCTTGGTACTTTAATATTTAGTTCTCCTCTTTCAGCTTAGCAGCTTCATTTTGGAAATATTCATGCAAGTGCTTAATTCATTATTGTAAATACTCTGAATGACTTCAGTCAAACTGTTAAAAGTTAAATGTGTTCAGGCTTGTAGGGTTTTCTGGATTAATGGTACCTCCATAAATATTTATTTTCAAAGGGAGTGAGTACAGGGTGATATTCTTTGCTTAAGAAAAATAATTTTAACTTACGTTAATATTTCTAACCCTGTAGAGAAGACATCAGCAGCTTGGAAGATACTTGTTACAGAAAGCAAAATTGAAATTCTAAAGGATCATTTTATAACTGTTGGACAATCAGGGAAAATCATAGGAATTAAAAGATGCATTTGAAAAATACTGCAAAACTTGTCACATGAATTGCTACTAAATTATCCACCCTGTAGCAAAACTATATTTAGGTTTGAGCACTCATCAAATAATTTTAATAAGCTAAAATCACGAGGACAATGCCGTTAAATTCTTGTGCAATAAATAAAGCTAAAAGATAAGGACTATTCTGACCTCTCTCATATGTGTCTTACTGATAGCCCAGCCAAAAAGCATTCCCAAACAATCACTGCCATTTTAACTAGCATACCTTCAATTTTTCAGAGGTGAAAGAGTTGCACAGGGTATAGTTGGACCAAGTTCGGTTGCTCTCAGGATGGCGGAACCAGTTTCCAGTTTCATCGCAGTATTTTGAAGCCCTCTCTGATGATAAATTGCAACAGTAGTTATTTTAGCATGGGCATATTACACATTTAAAAATCCATAAAAAAGAATTTCTATGTTTGGAAATAAAATGCCTGTTTAACAAAATCCAAAGGATTTTCAACTTGTGCGATTAATATACATTTGTCCGGTTTGTTGTTGGGTTTTTTTTTCCTCAGAGCTTTATCTGATGGTATACTTGTCATTTATCTGTCCCCTTTTGTCTTGAATGAATGCAGAAAAGTATATTTACCCAGCCTTCATGCAGGTGCAATTATTTATGTGATAATAATTCATTTAAAAAGGCTGTTGAAAGCTGTTTATGGAAAAGAAAGTACATTAGGCCCCAACGCTGACCCTGACAGAAGTGTGCAAGGGCAGTCACACACGGTGGTGTCTGCATGTCGTTAGTTCTCATCCCAACCTGCAGTATCGAGGTTGGAAAACAGATGTGCCCACTGGCTAGCACAGTAATCTAATTTTTTGGTTTCAAACCTGACACTCGCCAGGACATGCTGGTATCCATACACAGACGCTAGCGGACTGAATCTTGCAGCAGAGTTTCATGCATTGAGGGAAATAATTGGTTAAAAATACTGTGAGGAGAAAGGGCAGCAAGCAGTGTATGAACTGGAGCCTGGGTGCTGGTGATGGTGACAGCCCCAACGCCAACCATGAGCTTCTGCAGAGGGGTGGGAGAGTCCTGCCCAGCCTCTGCGCCAGCTAAATCCTGCCAGGAGTGAGCGGGAGCACCGCTTGCTTTCCTCTGAGGCCGCAAAGCACGCAGGCCCCGGCAGAAGCAGCCTCGCAAACATTTTGGCGCAGGTCCCAAGTGTCCAGTTTAATTTAAAATGGCTGCAGAGTTCTCTGTTTAAATAATCTGATGTGTGTTTGGCCTCTCCATGTGTGTCACTGGTGCTGGTTTCTGTGCGGCAGGTGGCTCTGGCATCCCTCCCGAAAGCCCTGCTGTGCAGATCGCTCTCCAGGCTCGTGCTCCTTCGCACGCGTCCTTTTACTGTGGCGGAGGGACGCCCGGCGCTTCAGCACCATCCAGCTCCGAGGGACGCCTGCAGACACAGATGCGTCCTCCCGGCCACGCTCACATTTCTGCCTGGGAAACCCTGGTTGCTGAGGTGCAGGCAGTCACTCCTCATCACCTGTCAAGTTTTGGACCAGTTCCTTTCACCTCCCCTCAAGCATTAGCCACATGGCAGTCACTGGAAAGCTTGCCCAAGTAACAAAGGCAGGATAAGATTAGAAGCTGAAATTATTTGATGTGTTCTTAGGTAGTGACACAGCTGCTTATTAATGAAAAACACAGTACTTCAAGTCTGACTTTTTAGATAGTCCAAAAAGCCTATCTTGACTTCCTTTTGCCTATTCTAGCTTTATAATTTTGTTGGCTTTACACATTGATTATCAGCATTTCCAATCAATACACTTTTACAGAGACAATTACCACTTGAACATACAGATTTTAATTTTTTGTGTTCAACATTTGCATTATTTTTCTTAATCAGCTCCAATGATTAATGATTCTCTTAATTTGGAAGATTCATATTTCTTTCATATACCCTAAGGAAAGCAATCAATCATACTGGCAAGGTAAGGATTGCACAGACTGAGCTATCTTCCTTTGACCAGAAATACACTTTATATAGTGCCATTGCCAAAAAAAAAAAAAAAGAGACAATCCTCCAGAACACAGCATACTTTCGAAATTACTGTGAGTTTCAAATCATTGGTTTTGGGGACTTGTTGAAAATCAATACGTGCATCAACAACACCAAGAGGAACAGTACGTGTTATCTCAGCCTTCCATCACTGCAGCTCGGAGATAATCTCAGACTGCCTGTGTAGCAATGTTCCCATTGTACTCATTGCCAGATATTATCTAAAGCTGGAAAAAGTTTTCAGTCATAGATAAAAGATTAATGGTTACGCTACCACGGTACACAGTGTACAAACATCGTACCTGCTATCCCATGCACTCTGCAAAGTACATGCTTTTGTTAATATGCTATAGAGTATAATGGTCATATCATCTATCATCCCTGTACTTTAGCGCCTAGGTAGGCATTCTGCCGAAGTTTAACGTGGCCTCTATAAGTCAGAGACAAATCTGTTGCCTCATACTATTCCTTGAAGCCAGACACACACAACTGATCCTAGTTTGGAAGCGGCCATGGCCCACAGATTTCTTGCTGTGACATCGTCAGAATATGGGACTGGGGGATAAGCTTCCCTTCTGTCCACCCCAGTGACTCAAACAGGTCAAATATTTCTTCTAAATCTATGATTTTATACAGAAATAAAGCTGTGAGTCTGTAACGCAACCACTGTTCTACTGCAAGTTATTCTACAGTGGCCCAGTAGCAGGTGTGGGATTATGAACCTGGGCATGTGTTGGTTTTTACGCTAACCAGAAGACTCTAGTAAACTCTGTTTAAGGATGGGTAAGGCAACGCTAGCAAGGCAAAATGGAAGTGTGGGCTTTAAGATTATTCAAATACTATGTAAAATCTAATTTTTTAGGCTCTGTCTGCACCCTATCAGCTTGGATAGGGCACTGCTAGGGCATCACACTATCCAGAGTGGAGGAACAGTGACATTGTGTGGGATTCATCTCAGCTGACTTTAGCAACCTTAAAGTTATGCAATTACTAGGCAGTTGTGCAGGCTGTCTGTAGTTAGCTTAGACACTTGAAGAGCTGTCTGGGAAAAATGGATGAGAGAAATCTTATCCACGAAGGCAGTTTCATGGGAGTAGTGAAGTGTCTGACAAGATGAACCAGAAGTAAGTTTTGCATGTGGTATTGTTTGTGCTACCAATCATATTTTCATAAAAACAGCTCAATCATTTATATGTAACAAATATCTTAACCCAATAACTCTGGAATAAATATGATAGCTCTATCAATCAGGTTTTTTACAATTAGACCAACTCTATAGCTAGCACATGTTAAAAGAATCAACACCATTTTTTATTTATTGTTGAGTTATAAGCTGGAAGTAGAAACAAGTTTTCCTCTATTGCAGTGCATGCTCAGCACATACCAGACATTGGATTCTTTGCCATCATTTGGATAGACCTGTGTAGTGCTTAGTTTTGCAGATGAGGGAATAGCTGATGTAGCATATTTGATTTACTTACATCCGCAGTAAAATATTCTAGAAGAAAATTTTTCAAAAATGAAAAAATCATCTGATAGGATACAATGGAGACCCTAGAAAACTTCAATTCCAGTATCGTAATCAGTGAAGAAGTACCACTATCATCAGCATGCCTCAGTCAGCAGAACTGGAATCTGTATAATAGAGTCATATTGTGAACTGTGGGGATAAGAACTGATTTTTCAAATACAGCTGTCAAGCTCAGTAAGAAGCAGGACAGAAATACCCAGAATGGTAGGGGGAAAAGAAGCAGCTGAACAGAACTCAGATTTGTTTTATTTATCACTGTCTAAATGATACCACTTCGACAGGAAAATAAGACCAGCAGAAATCCAGAGCTGGCTTTTTTAGCCAGAGTCAGGAAATTTGCATTGTGTGGCAGCAAGAGAAGGGCTCATCCAGGCCCAGCCCTTCCTGCGCTGCTCGGGCTGCTCCAGCAGGTCCCTGGGGCTCCTGGCCACCAAGGATGCTGCTCCGTGCCCTCTGCAAGCGCAGGCACAGTGCCGGGTGGGAAGGAGCACATGACAGGCTGGGTGTGCAGGAGGGGAGACCACGGTTGGGAAGGCGCTTGAATTAGGGGATGCCTGAGGAAGTTGCCTCCCTGCCTGCCAGGAGCCAGGGGGGTGGAAGGAGCCACCGCTGCTGCTGTGACCCAGGAGGTCTCTCTCTCTCTCTGGTTTGTGGAAGGCCGTGATTTCTCATCTGCAACAACTGCTCTTGTCAGCTCGGCAACCCACTGAGCTGAACACTTTGTGCATTTTGCCAGCTGTGAGAAGGCCAGCCTTTCTCCCTGCTGGGGTGGCCACTGCTTTTAACCACCGCTCTTTGCCAAAGAGGAAAGGGAGCGAAAGTGAAACGAAAAGGTATGGCTGCCACAGCGCGACTTGGACATTCAGCTCCGTTGCTATGTGACTGCACCAAATTAATCCTGACCAAACGCACCGTGCAGGGAGAGTGAGGTGGGTAATAAAACACTCCCCTGCCACAAACCCAACAGCCTGTGCACGGCACAGGGCAATGCTGTGCTCCTCCTGCTGCCTCCAGTGCATCTGCCTTGCTAGGAGGCAATTACATCCACAATATATTTCCCTCTTTTTTGGCAGCAAGAATATTGCCAGCATGAAGTACATACTACATTCCTATCAAATTCAGTTCCTAGCAATTTGAGCATGGCCCAGAACCATTTCAAAGGGATTACACTAAAGATTAACCTGGATAAAATATGAATATAAAATACAATTCAAGAGAAACTGTGCGTGTTGCCTGAATAGGGGAGTGTGAAACAGCCCCGCTCAGAGCTTCACAGCCAGCAGTGGATGAGACAATGAATTTCCTGCTGTCACTGGTGTTAAAGCAGTAGGTCTCGGTATGTTTTCCAGACAAATTGATTTGTTTTTATGCATTATCACATTGCATGTGATGGTCATTGTGAGAAAGAGATTGCTACAAGAGGCAACAGTTGTTTATTGAAAAGGACTAAGTTGTCACAGCATGTAGAGAGGGGTTTCTGTTTGTCTGTTAGCTTTAAGGTACTGATTTCCTCTCACAGGGTAGAGCTTCATCAGGTGGGGAAAGAAGTGTGGGAAGCCCTTGCTGACTGAACAGACTAGATTATCACAGTGGTCGTTTCTTCTTTCAGAACACAGATTTCTGTCTAGTAAGAACTGATGTAAGTTCAGTGACCCCACCTGGAGTACTGTATCCAGCTCTGGGGGCCCCAGTACAGGAGAGACATGGAGCTGTTGGAGAGAGTCCAGAGGAGGGCCATAAAGCTGATCGGAGGGCTGGAGCACCTCTCCTATGAGGACAGGTTGAGAGAGTTGGGGTTGTTCAGCCTGGAGAAAAGAAGGCTCTGGGGAAACCTTATAACAGCCTTCCAGTACCTAAAGGGCCTACAGGAAAGCTGGAGAGGGACTGGTTGCAAAGGCATGGAGTGATAGGACAAGGGGTAATGGCCTTAAGCTGAAGGAGGGTCGATTTAGATGAGATGTTAGAAAGAAATTCTTTACTGTTAGAGTGGTGAGGCACTGGAACAGGTTGCCCAGAGAGGTTGTGGAGGCCCCATCCCTGGAAGTGTTTGACCAGGCTGGATGAGGCTTTGGGCAACGTGGTCTAGTGGAGGGTGTCCCTGCCCATGGCAGGGGGGTTGGAACTAGATGATCTTTAAGGTCGCTTCCAACCCAAACCGTTCTATGATTCTATGATTCTACGATTTTATTCTGGGACTCAAAGATATATATGGCCTCAAATGAAAGTAACTTAGCCATCAGTGAGCTGATACACAGCGATTCTGCAGATCTCAGTGCAGCCCAAAGCAGCACAGCATGAAATGCTTGTTTCAGAAGTCCACAGGGTTACTTGCATGCCTGAAATATACATTGATGTGGTTTGATATCACAGAAACTTAGTGGGAAAGAAATCTGACAGGCACTGCAGTTTTCATCTTGTAAAATCATCGTTCTTTAGGATGAATTTTCTGTTTCTCAGCAGAAAATCTAGCTGTATTTTGTTTAACCAGGTAAGTTACCAAAGGAAATAATGACTTGTGACACAAAACCTGACAGACTTCTCAGGACAGCTGAATCAGTGCTTTTGGCCACCTCTAAGTGGCAGCCACTTCCATTAGCAGTTGAAAGACTTCTAGTCATGCCCACGATTTTGTATCTCCCTCCTACTTTATTAAGTCCTGGTGTGACAATCAGCCACCTGTAAAGCAAAGGCTGGCTACCCGCTGGTTTGATGTCACAGCTGTAATATGTGCTGGGGAACTCAACAGCTACTCTAGGAAAGGGCTCTGGCTCAACCAAGAGATGCTGAGCATCTGCTGAGCCAGGGAAACAGTGTTGACTGACCAGCATGCAGGTAAAGAGGCTGACAGAGGTGCTGACAAGAAGAGAGATGTGCCAGGGGAAAATACTGAGTCCAGGAGATCACAGGTATTGTTCCTAGGCAGGACAGCAGAGAGAACAGTAGGAAATTAATTACTGTAGGAGGCTCTTCCCCCTATGGCCATGTACACAGAACAGGAATACAAAAAAATTCCCAAATCTGCAACTTTTAAAGCATGGCAGAAAGAGTAACCACGGTACACACACAATGTGGGCCACACTCTGCAGCATGCATCTGTACGCTAAGGACTAATTTGCAATCAGCCGTAGGAGTCACAGACCTTGGCATTAATAAGCATTAGTAAGTGGAGCAAGATGCTTCTCCATGGACAGCTTCAAGTGTTACTCTGAAGTGTGCTGTTGTAACGGAGCAATTAGTTCAGAACAAGTCACTGGAGACAAGTGGGCAAGTGGAAAAGCTGGGAATAGGTGGCTTGGGACCAAGCAGGAGAGTGGCTCTGTAATCAACCCCATGCACTGAGGGATGAGGACCTCGAGTCTTGGGGAGACTTCTGTGATCACAGGGCTGCCCAACACCACCTTTCAGAAGTATAAGCTGAACAGCACATGGAGTATACATAAACCAGGACTGATAGTACCACTTTTGGGGTTTTTTTTTAATGAAAACCATGGAAGCAAGGAAAGCAGAAGCCTTGTAGTAAATTGTCTTATTCATCAAAGGGGTGTTGCCAGTGGAAGGTACAGACCTCATCCAAGAGGCATCTCTGACATGTGTGTAAGAAAAGTCTTGTGCAACCTCAGGATCCAGAGCCTCAAGCTCTCTCCTGACCATGAGCATTTCCGTCTGGGGACTGAACCAAGTTTGGCCAATTCTTTTAAACTGCTCTTTTGGCATCTTTTGTGCAAATAGCCTAATGGTTGAAGCACCTGTCCACAGAGAGGGAGACCTAGGTCAAAGGCACCCCTCCAGTTGAGGGTCTCAGCTCCTCAGCCCATCTGCCCCCAGGTGCTCCAATGATTAGCCACGAGTGTGGCCCTGCTGCAAGACTCCTCCTTAAAAACTATGACACTGTACAGAAAAGAGGTCAAGACTAAGTGTGTCTGAGAGCAAAAAAAAGGTCACAAAAGACAAAACTTTGTGATTCAGTGCCTGTTGTGTATCTCATGGATGAAAGCTGCTGTAAAGATTTGTGGGGTGGGTCTCAGGGTACTCCCACAAGAGGTGGACAGTCACACGGCCACGCGAGCTCACTTTCAAGGCACACAAATCCTTCAGTCTGTCCTGTCCTAGTTCCACTGGTAAGGGGGAGGTTTCTCCACACAAGTTTGGATGCAAGTTTGAATCCCCTCAGACTGGGGCTGATACTGGAAGTTTCCCACTTGCTGGATGAATTCTCTAATCATGGATAGCTTGATTTATAAAGAACAGAAATATTGATCAACCTGGCTGCTACTGCAAATGGGATTCAGTAAAATGTATACCGGGTCTGATCCAGCCTGCAAACTCCTCTGTTTCTAAATAGGCAACAAGCTCAGTAGAACCAATAGTTTTAGCTAATGGTATTGGGTCATTAATTCATAGCAATGCAATAGTCCATTTCCTTTTCAGTTGGGCACATACATTTTGGTTTAACCTTGTTGAAAATTTTTAGATTTATATACCTTCCCCTGCAAATGTTTAGTTTCATAGTTTTTAACTGCAATGGGTACACTGTGTCTATGCTGGATTTAGCATGCTGTGGCATCAAGCACCACCTATGAGCAGCATGTCCTGAGCATGGAACACACAACTGTGTCTTTCTTCAAACAATACTCTTTGTGGAATTTTACTTGCGTCTCGTATTTCCTCATATCAATCTGTCCTTGATTTTTCCCCTTCATTTGTCACTTTAAACATTCTTGAGTTACTTCTCAGTCTGCATGGCTGCTAGTATTTCTATGAAGAATTCAATGAACAGTTAAAACTTGGAGACTGTAAGAACAGTATTTCTGCTCATCTTCTTCCATAAAATGGTATTTTCCAATAAAAACTGAATGAAGAACAAGGTGATACATATTTCATGCACATAAGCATTTCCTCTTTATTATAAAAACTTAGAATGAGACTTTAAAAATATTTTGATATTATAACTAAGTAGTTAATATTTTCGTAAACTAGGTTCCATAAATCCACAAGTTATATTTACAAAAATATAAATGCACATACAATATTTTAAAAATAAAAATATATAAAATAGGCAACCCAAAAGCTTCATGTATTTTACTTTCAGCCAAACTCTCTGAGATTTCACAATGCTGCAAAAATGGCACTGAAAACGGTTTCCACTCAATGGCACAAATGTTTCAAAGACATCCTTCAAAAGATATGATAAAAAGAAATACCGTACCAGTTGGATCAAAGTCTGGAAAATAATCCGGACAATTCTGAGCAGTGACTCTTCCAGCAGGCGTGTCATCCCAGCACAACCATCCATCCCAGGTTCGGTTGCAGAACAGACCTGGACATTTAAAGAGGAATGCAGTAGTTAATTCAGCACACAGTCACTCCTGAACCTGTTCCATTCTAGCCTCTCAAGGAATATTGCCATCTGCAGACAATCGTGTTTTCTTTTTTAAATAAACCTCCTTGTTATTGCTATACTTTGAGTGGCATTCAGGTACTACAGGGTACGTGGTTTTGCTGACCTGGTGTTAGTGGTGTTAATTTTACTTGAAAATATGGTTTTAGGCCTACTGAACTGAACTTTGAACGTAGGGTCTATTCCCACAAATTCGTCATCTTGATCCTCCTTCCATCCTTGGCCATAAATGTGTACATTAGTGCTAAGGGGGGGGCCTCAGTTATCCAAAGACCTTACAGACACCCACTTTTCATTTCACCTTCTGCCATGTAGCAGGTCTGAAAGTTTGCAGAGACAGGTCCCTGTAAGGTTGCTGCATTGCTCAGCACTAGAGATCAGTCAGGTAACTACCGATCCGGTGAAGCAAGGTGCAAGACTGATCTGTAGCAGGCGAACTCTGCCTCCCGATGTTGTCTGGGTAGGCATGCTGTGAGCCTGTCCTCATCACACCCTTCTGGGAAGATAGCACTGTTGAGGCTGTGTCCTCCACAAGGACTATTCCCAGCCCCAGAAACGACGGCCATACCGGGGAGGCAGAGTACAGCTCATTCTTAATTCCTGTTTTACAGAGATGTTACCTACTGTGGTCCACAGAAACTGTGCCATAAGACTACTTGCTGTAACACAATTTCCTGGCTCATTGTGGATTTATTCAGGTAACACATAAAAAAAGAACCCTATACTTCTTAGTTATTGTCCATGTAAAATCAGTTTGTGTTAGGGAAAAGGTATTTATCATCAAGACTATCAGGTTAAAGGAAAATACAATGACAAGATACACCTTGCCTTTTTTGCTCTGGTCCCAAGAGACTTTCAGAATTGCTGCTATGACCATGTAGGTTGTTTTTGAAAGAATCATATGGAACCATTGAAAGTTAATAAAATATGGACAGCTAATTGCTTCTGGTGCTTTTGAAATTACCCACAGATAAACTTTCCCTCTGAAGCAAGAAAGCTGTAGAAAGACATCTGAATTGTTCAAATTGGCACCAATAACTGTTTTTAAGTCAAAATAGTTGTGGATTAAAAATTGAAAGCTTTCCAAATTAATTTTTTTCCAGATATAACAAAGGAGATGTTTTTATGAACACTTTTCCTTCATTAGCTAAGATTTTATGCACATATATTTTTCCATTGTCAAGTTAAATGTGCTGATGCTACTTGTTGACTTAATTAACCAACCATCATATCAGCAGTTTGTTCTCTTTCCTTCAGGCATTCTCATGTTCTCCTCTAGCTTTGAGATGTATCTGAAAGACTTTTAGGAATAATTTTTTAATGTCAAAGAAAAAGAAGAATAGAAAATGTTTGCAACTTGAGTTTCTATCTATCTGAAAGACACTACAGCATGGGGTTGGTAGAAATTTCTAGCTTTAAATCTTTTGCCTTGCCTGATAAAGAAAAAAACCCACAACTGATTTTGATCTACACATTGTGGAATGTGTCTTTCAAGGTAAGTAACAGGATATATATGCATGCATACATCCATAAATATGAATATGTATACACACACATATATAGATACACACACATATATATATGTTTTACACACATACATATACATATTCTGTAAGTTCTGCAGGAATTAAAACAGTATAAGTAATAAAACAGAAGAGTTTAACAACATATTGTTGTATCACTGGCTAAAAATATTACATTTTTGGAGGGACAGGGAGTGCAGGAGCGCTGCACTGTCCTGGAGGGATGATGAGATGTTCCCATGTGCCTGAGCTCCGCATTTTGTTATTTCTTTGGGATTTAAGGTAATCAATTCTACCTTGAAATGGGCAGGGTAAGTGTGTGTAGATGGTCCGTTATTTTGGCTCTGCTGGCCACAGCTCACCTGTATTACATCATCTCTCTGGCTCCTGAGCGTGAGGTACTATGCAGTTCTCTGCAGTTCGCTGTCATCAGCTTTGAGACCCAGGATTATGAAGGATTTAAATTATCTTTGTGCCAGTCTCAAATGAGCTACATCAGGGACTGCAGAGATGCCAGGGAAAAATTAGACACATCTCAGCTGGCTCTGTAAAGTTGTACCAGACACCGGGCTTTCCCTGGATCTCCACAAGTGTTTGTGCTGAAAATGCGTACCCATTATACGCCTTCAGCCCATGTGTTGGGCTTCTCCTCTCAGGAGACACCCCTACGGTTATCATTCAAATTAAGGGAATTTCCCATTTGATCCCATCCTCCCTTTCAAATTTGCAGTTAAGCGACTTAGACCCTTGTTCCCTTCCAACCCTTTATGAAATGTAAATAAATGTTAGAGGGCTGGTGAGGATCCTGTAATTCAGTCGAAAATGCAACTTCGGTAGTGTTGGCATCATTCCTTAGTTGCCCATTACCTTCATTCTGGGTTAGAAATGAATTAAGTGCATGTTGCTATGAACATAACAGTCCCCAGTGGCACTGCTTAAATCTAGCTGCCAGTCGAAGGAATGCAGGAACTGCTGTGCTGGGTCTGCCACTGCTGTCCTCCTGGGACAACGCTGCTCACTACCCAGCTCATGCTGGGAAAACACTTCAGCCCTTTGCAACTAATCACATGTGCAAGGTGCAAAAGAAAGGTGAGTCCAGCAGAACTATCAATGGATGCAAAAATGACGTACGTGTAGAGCTGGAGACTAAAAGAGTAATATCTGAGCAGACAGCAAGTTTTTTCCTCCCTCAAGTCCAGAAACTAAAGGTTTGTTTACATGTGAAACATGATGCTTTCTATCCCACAACCCTGTTTAAATACTTGCGGGTTTTTCCCATTATTGGCCTGAATGAAAACCCATTTGAAGCAATGGGAAGTCAATATTAATTCCAAAACATTTCTGCAAAAAGACCAAGTATCTTAACATCTAATTATTCTTTGAGTCTTACAGAGTCCAGTAAAATCTTTGTGGTAAAGAGTTGTGGAAATGTCTTTGTTCTTGTATTACAAAAAATTCCCACATTATCTCCACCCCATTTATTAGTTTGGGTTTTTTAAATCATGATTTTTTAATATATTTTCTCTTTAAACTGTGTCCTCAGTATCTCTGTTCTTTACTTGCATAAATCCCCACAATGCCTACAATACTTTTTCTCTAGCATGCTCACAACTTCTTCCATATTTTCTGTGAGAAACAGTGACCAGAACACTCAGTCCCAAACAGAAATCCTTCTTCATTCATACCATGCCATTGTAGCACCACTATTATTTGTCATTTCATTTTTATTAATCTTAATATGTGCCTTGTATTCAGTAAAGATGTGCCCTCAGTGCTTTATAAACCTCTTTTTGCTAGTGTTACTGCTAAATATAGAACACCTGGAACATCTGTGTTGGTACAGAGCATGACAGCTATCAGTCAATACACGAATGACAAAAATAAAACAGTGAGCGAAGCAAACAGAACAACATTTGTATGTAAGAGATCACCATTCACAATCAGATCTTTGTGTGAGTTTGCTGAAAGGGTCTGGAAAATGCCATTCTCTAAGCAAGAACAAGGGATATTCAAGCAGCAAAGCACTGAGCCAGAAACGCAGATGATGGAGGTACTGTCTGCATGGGGAGGAAGGAAAAGCTGTTCATTCCCTGGGCTCGTTCCAGGCTTTTTTTTTGCTTTGCACTTAAGTCTTCCGGCACCTCAAGGAAGACTATTGGTTAGTATACAGAAGAAAATGTTTCTGTATAGTGATATGAGCAAGCGTGGCAATATACAACCAGATTTTTTAAAATCTTTTTTACCTTTTTTCTTATACGGAGGAGCTCTGTTCATCCTCTCATAGCATTTGAACTGGGAATCTATTATCTTCTGTCGTATGACTGAATTTTCAGTTACTACAGGCTCTAATGTAGGATCAGTATAATTTACAGTAGAAGAAAGACTTGGAATCATTCTCTGTACAGAAAGGAAAAACTGTTAGTACAAGTGAATAAACCAGGAGGATAAAATAAAAAAGTGAGGATCAGAAATCTCTATTATGCATTCTTCAAAGGCCTTTTATTTGCACATATGTTTAGCATTATGATGGGTCTTATACTGCTTGCAAAGTAAATGCTGAATTTTTACAAGTTTACCTTACTATAAACTCAGGATTTTAACCAAGCCCTTTTTCTTGGCTTAAGAGAAGACCATGAAATACTTGATAAAGTCTTCGAAATCTTTTCATGTAGCTTAGTGATCTGCAAAAAAAAATTTTGTATCTGCCCAAAGTTACACCCATGTATTTCTGCTCACTTGTGCAAATTTCTCTCCAGGCTGCCCAGACAAAATACCTCGGTACCACAGTCTCGAAAACGATTATTTCATGTTTTATGTCACCTGCTTTGAACTCCTTCAACTGTTAAGGTCCTAGAAACACAGGGCAGAGAGTTTAAACCTCACTACCTGGCCTTAGCTCCTAGGTAACTACCTAAGCAAAGTGACCCTAACTTTGAGAGTCTGAAGAACAAAATCCTTTTTGATCAAGTGGCATCTTCTGACTTCTCCCACTCTGAGCTGCCTGAAGGGCAAAGGGAAGGACCATTGCCTCTTAGGTAGAGCGGTCAGCTATCTTTTTTTCCATCCATCCATCCATCCATCCATCCATCCATCCATTGCACAGCCCAGGTCTGTGAGCCAGGGTGGAAATGAGAGTGTGGAGCTTTAGTTAGTTCTGTTGTGCCTTAATGCTGTATCACGACCCTTCTCTGCATGAAGGTGACAGGAAAGGATTAGTTCCTCTGCTTCTCCAGCAAAAGCAATGCTGCTGTGGCACTTCCCTTGTATGACCCTCTACTTATTCCCTATAGTAAACCATACTAAAGCCATCGCGAACACCAACAGAGTCATTTACAGGCTGCTTCAAAAATTAGCATTCTCATAAACACACAGACTTGACATTTTTAGCATCAAATACTAGTACACAGATCTTTAAGCAACCATTTGTAGTTGTTCAAACTGAAAATGACAGGTTTGAAAATTCAAATATCAGCTCACTTCTTAAATTGTTGCGTCCCTTTTTTTTATTGCACATCACAAGCAACTGTAGCTCATTAATACATTACTTTCTTTTCCACTGGCACAGCTACAACACTTTGGCAAAATAAAGAGCTAAACCACAGTATGTTTGACTTAGTTGAAAAAAAAAGAAGGCATTACTTTATCCTGATACTTCTGTGCCAAACCAGGTGATTTTAATCTTTTTATACTCATACACCCAATTATTTTTTTCTAATTTAATCTAATCTCTTTTGATACTAACATTTTCATTTTGAACTGTATATAGATACTCTCTGAAGCCTGGAGGACAGTGAAGGTAGTTTATTTCATTGCACTTAAAATAGGTACTTGAAATAAAATGGGATGAATAAGAAGGAAGATATTTTCTGGCAGATACAATTTTATATAAATTTTATGTGTATGTATACACACACACACACATAGATGTACTTGGATAGTGAAGCCATTTGGAACATTTCATCTGGCCATCCAAGTGAAAAAATAAACATTTAGAAAGCCAGAACAGGAAATACAGAAGCAAAGCCAAACATATCACAGGTCCTTCGCTTATGAAAAGATTAAAGGAAGTAGTTGGAGTCTACAAGGATCATTTAAAAACCAAACAAGCAGTGTCCTAATCCAGAAAGAAGTGCAGGAAAGTGCAGATAAGGTTCTTTGGACACCCTCAGGTCTGTTTTAGCCCTTCATGTCCATGTACCGCCACAGGCTTTGGTCATTCATAGATACTCCACGCTTTTTTTTTTTCTTTCTTGTTTGGAATAATACCTCAGTTCCAAGCTGTTTGCACTCAAGAGAGGAATAATGGTATCGTCAAAAAAAGCTAGGGGGGCTTAGGTGGCATCGGCTTTGTCCTCGATGATTTCTCTGTTACTCTGGGCCAGTTTGGGAACACACTCATGTTTTGAAAGCATAACCATCTGATTATGCTTGGAAAACGTTACCAATTTTCCTTGCCCTGAAACAATGCTTTTATTTTATTTTTGTTTTCTTCTAGGAAGGCGATGATCTGTTCTTCACATCTGTTTGACCAAACAAGATCAAAATCATTTCACACTGACAGAGACCAGAAAGGCTGGTGTTGCTGGCCATAAATAATGTTGCAGTTTCATCTGCTTTATCGGTACAGAATAAAGCACAAACCAGACATGAAACAATTGGCAAATGCCAGCTACACAGAGAGAAACTGTAGAAACTGTTCAGTGCTTTGGAATGCCTTTCCCCTATTCTCTTTTTATATCCTCTTTTACACACCATTTATAAAAAGACAGACCATTCCCAGAAGATTGCACAGTATAGAAATATACAGGAATGCTCTATTTACATCTTTTAACTGGTGATATAACAGTTTGTAACTAGGGATGATGATTTTGAGGGGTAAGATACAATTTGGAGACCGAAGACGCCTTACTCTTAAAGGTCAGTTTTATAACTCCCTCCCTGTGAGGGACTAATCCAATTCCTGAAGAAGTCAGCTCTTTTGGGGTAGAGGTTAATGAGAATATTTTAATACTTGGAGGCAGAGAGTACCTGTGGTGGTGGATAGGATAAATGTCTTGGATTGTGCACAAAATTATTTAAAGTGCTCAACCATGTAACCAGGAGGACTGCCCATTCTACCGCCTCTGAGCAAGGCAATCACGGTCCAGCTGAAATTGCCAGCAAAATTTCTATTGCACACATTTGGGCCAGGGATTCACTCAGAGAGATTAAAAATATGGATAAGACTGTGTCACTGAAGCTCAATGGAAATTACTTCATCAGTGGAAATCACTTAATGGCCTACAGTAAATCTAAAGCAAGTTTGGATAAAGACTGGAATAATAATATTAAATTACAGCTGTCTCTTAAATTATCTGATTTTTTTTTTCTTATTACCAAACACAAAGAGTCAGATTTTCAAAGTTAGTTGCACACAAATCTTTCCAGGCACTTTTGATGTAATAGAATAGCTTGTGTGTGAAATCAAATTAAGGGGTTATACTTAGGTGTGTTACTGGTATTGTTCATCTGTGATAAACCCTTTAAATGTATTCTTCCCCTTGACTGCTATTTCTCACTTCTGTTTGCCTAGATTTTAAAAGCTGGCCATGGAAGTTTGAACAATATTTTCTTCCACCTTAAAATCAGATGACCATTTCAACAGACTAATGAAAAATATATTTGGCAGCTTGCTGGAGGTTGAGCAGTCACACCTCTGTTTGCAATGCTGGTGTTTCCTATCGTGATAGAACCACACGTCCACCAACACTCTGGGACTCGGAGCCTAAAGCCAAAGTCAGTTCAGTAGGCTGATGATCCAGCCCTGGGGCTCAGCCAAACAAAATTCTTGGTACAGTTTGTGATGCCAGATATTACTGTTTATTTCAGTCTTCTTGCACTCCTTACCATGGGGGTCAGGAAAGGGCAAAGGGGACAGAAAGAAATCTCTGGGTCATTATTCTCTTATCAGAAGTAGCAGGAGCTTGGGCACGGCCACACGGAGGGGAAAGCTTATTGTGTATCATGCTGATGGAGAGGCTGGGAATGTCCCTCAAATGTCTGTGTGTCTGTGTGTGTGTGTATGTTCTCATGGAATTAATGATTAGGAATCACCTCTGTTACTATATTTTAATTATTTTAGCTAGGTATTTTAGAAATTAAGTTTTAAAACACAGGTTTTCACCATAAAAAAAGCCATATTAAATAATTTTCACCTGGTTACTACCTACAATACTGAACAAATTTTGAATGTTCAGAGTCCATTACTGCATGTCAAAAACTCTTCCCATGGATCCATCAGTTACTTCAGATGGAAATGTAAGTGATGTTGATACAATAAAGGAATGCCTCATTCATTTATAAATATTCTTTATTAAAGAGAAATAAATACTTCACAACTTAATATCAGGATGTGTTCATAGCCTGAAAATGATTGGTATGATTTCTTCAGAAGAAAACTGTTTAAGTGATGTCCTATGCAGCAGTTTAGCAGCCGTACATATGATGTCACTCCTAGAAGTCCAAGTAAATGACGTCATACATACGACCACCAAGCCACCACGTGACAAATGACTGTTATAAGAAAATGAATTATCATTACAAAGAGAAAAAACAGGCTGCTGGGAATGCTGAAGTTCACTTTATACCTAGAATGAATAAAGGAATCTAGAGAAAGCAATTTGGCTTCATTATTAAACTATATTGAAATGAACAAATAGTGCCCTGGTTTCTGTAAGACCGACACCTGCTATTAACCTGTGCAAGACTGTGCCCATTTCTGCAACAAAGAATCCAGACAAAGCAAGTATAAAATTCCTTCTTTTTTTTTTTTCCACAAATTATTGGACATGATGAACAAGCATCCTCAAATATTTTTCTTCCACCATCAAGGAGCTTGAAGTATACTAACTGTTGACTACACATAACATTTAGGAAAAGAAGGTATTAGTAGCTTTCTTTGCTTTTGTTTTTTCCCTCCTTCCACTAAATTCAGTAACATTTATTGTTGAGCTCAGTCAAAATACATTTCAAATTCTGGGTGCTCTGTTATTGACTCACTTTGTGCATCACTAAACTGCTGTCCTTCAATGCATCACATCTTTGAGTGAGAGCTCAGCATGATTTAGGCTGGTTGCAGAGCCCCTCCATACCTCAATTACATTTGAAGTACTTTTCACAGCTGCTAGCATTAGGACAGAGAAGAAAACAACTATGGCGCCTGAGGAAGGTCATTATTGTGTGGTACTCAGTAAATACAACAATAATTTCTTATCCATTACAAATGTACTAGGAAACAGCAGACAATTTCTTTGGGGAAATACTTTGACGTGACATATTTTACTTAACCACTGAATGTTAAAATTTTCCCATACTCAATTGCTGTTGAAGCAGGATGGAAATTATCTCACAGTGAGATCCCATACAGCTTACATTGCAGATTTTGGCAGCTGTTTAAACAAGCATGAGACTATCAGCCACAGCAGATGAAGACAAGGCACTTTTATGAAAAGCAACACACGAATCTTACAGTTCTTTTCCATTGCTGTAGGATTTATGAGGAAGATTTACTCCCAGAGTAGCCTGATGCAAACTGCGGGCTTAAGGGAAGGCTGCAGAATATGTCATGGATTTTTGCTTGCAGCTCTGATTATCATCTTGCAAGAGGCCTCTTTAAGGCAATCAGCTGCATAGCAACATCCTTATTTTTTTAAAAAACAAAGATGGAGACAAAAAGCCCTGATCGCCCCTGAAACTGGGGTGAATAGAAAAGAATACGGCATTCCTCTCCCTCTTGGGAAACCGTGAGCAGCTTGAGTCTAAATTTCTCACACTAATTCTCAGCACCTTAAATCATCAGCAGCTTTCTTTCCCGAGTTTTCCTTGTGTGAGAAGAGCTCCAGAACTTGTAAGTCCACTTCCTTACAGCTTGAAGCAACACATAGTTACAAAGGGAAATGCACACTTCAGAACAATGGCATGGTCTCAGGTGATGAGACCCAGGGGGATTTCATCATCCACAGCTGGGGAAGCACCGGGGCGCCCAGCGGTGCCAGACAGCAAGCAAGGCTCTGACAAAGCATGCCAAAGGAGGCTGTGACAGATCTTCAGCAGCTCTTCTGGCCCATCAAAGAGTGGGACCTGCTCTGGACCAGATGCTGGAAGAGCCGCTGCCTAAGCAGGAGAAGGTTTGTGCTTATGATGCCCACACAAGACACGGGTTTTAGAGACTCGTGCTGAGAGCTGCTGAGCTGGGCAGTAGCCCGGGGAAGCATGTGGCCGCCCCACCTCACTGGTTCGTATTGCACTCCCAGCTGAGAGCATCTAATGGGTACAGCATGAGTGGTGCCCTCATCATGGTGGTAAATGTTTCACTAATTGGCTTCTGGAGAATTGAACCTACCGCAACTGTGTTCCAAAACACGCCAGTTTGTGCAGTTACTGAAAATTACATTTCAGCTTTCACATAACTAATCTTCCATGTTTTGTGAATGGGAATTATTCGCAAGCCTTTCAGGAGCTGACACAATGTACCAGACTGTGTATAGTTTAGTGACTGAGGCTTGGTAACAATTTGACAGATTTAGACTTAATGAACTTGTTCTCAAAATTAATTTATTTTAAAATACAACCTTGATCTAATGGTCCTAATATTGAATAATAGTGTGGTCTTCAGCTGCAGGATCCATTCAGTCCTTCCTGAGCACTCTGTGGTTGGCTCAGGATGACAAAATTGGAGTATGAGACAAAAAACTACTCCATCAATCCTCATTTATGTGATAAAATCAAACCACCATCTGTAGGCACTAGATGACAATTCTTACTTGACAAACTCAGGTAGAAAACAGAACTCTCTTTTCTCAATGTCCTGCAAAACTCATCAGCCACACAGGAAAGAGACCCAAGATTGTTTCCTCCTCCTAATTCTCTGCAGTTTCATGCCCCTGGACACACCGTGGTGATGCTCCATCTTTCTTGCAGAGAGAAATGTGCACTGAGGAAACAAACTAATTGCTCCAGCGCACAGGAGCTCACGTACTCGAGGAAACAAATCTCAGTCACATTCTGTGGCTCTCAGTAATTACAAAAAACAAGACAGTATCAGGAATAAAGTGAACTAAGAAATAATGAATAGTTAAAATTTCAAATGGAATTAACTTTGAATTGTAGAGGACTATCTGGTGATGCTGCAAGCATTGTCACTATTCTGCATCCAGCAAAAGGGAAGCCATCAAAGAGGAAGACAATAAGGAGTTAGTTTCATTTCTAAATTAGGTTTTGGAGCAACTGGTGCTTTAGGTTTTGTTTAGCAAAGGTAAGTTATTATGGACCTTCACACAGAAGAGTAAAGGGCTATTTATGCTATGCAAAAAAATACTTATGTAAGAGAGATGGTTTCTATTAGAAGGTACCAAAACCACTTGGTGACATATCTAAAGGCTGGAGACTGTGGGGAGGGTGCAGTCTATGGACATCTTGTAACTAGGGTCTAGGACAAAACATTCAAGGAGAGATATGGGATGAATCTGGCACCTACAGTGGGACAAACTGCATAAACAGAGAGCCTGGAGCCCAGCGGAGAAAGCAAGAACCTCAATAGGTTGTGTTGCCTTGCAACAGCTTGCAGTCACCAGCTGGGAGTGCAGGACACAGATGAGAGGATGACAGTAAACCATCAAAGCCATCAAAGAAGAAAGATCTGGAGGATGGTTTGTGGGGTGGGTAGAGAACAGGAATGGGAGATCACCTCTGTGTCACAAATCACCTTGATTATCTCCCCCAACCTTGGAGAGTGGCTGACAGGTAAGTCCCAGGGACTCATAGCTCTGGGAACCGAGGCATGATTAAAAGAACCAACAGAATGGGAACAGTCTTTTTGGAAGAGAAAGACAGACACTCTTCCTTTTTACAGACCACAAATAAAATGTAAAAAATGAATGTTTTAACCAGCTACAGGTGGGGAAATTTTTGGAAAGACAACTGATGCCAAATATTTTTCATATTTGATCTAACAACAGCAAGTGATATCAACGAAACATAGCTTGTGCATGGTCTACTTCTATGACTGTGCCTTCCCCTCACTGTAGAGTTTCTTAAAGAAATCCCAGCCCTGGAGTACGGCAGGAATGAGCACAGAACTAACGTCGCACACATGCTACCACTGGTGGGAGATTTAAAAGACGTGTGGATAACAGGGCAAGGATCAGCTCAATCTGTCAAGGGCTAACCTACAAATTCATGCTGTAAGTCAGAGCACCTCAAACACTCAGAAATGCTGTTGACAATTTTAGTTATGAGAATATTTACAGTCCTGTCAATTGACCGGGGAAGAAAAATGATCTGGAACTGTTGCTGCAGTCAGCGCTGGCTTGTTGTAGGAAGAATTGCTGTTCTTTGCCAAGGCCCCTGTTAGGCAATGCGGATCAGCTGGGATTCAAGCCCAGAAGGAAGCTGGTCTCTGTCAGCCATTTGGTTAGAGAGATCTCTGGCCATGGGTGATGTCCCAGCCAGTGCACTGCTACATGCATCCTTTGCAGGGCTATGTGTAACAGCCACAAAAGGGCACAAATTTCAGAATACTCCGATATACCTCGAGGCAGAAGACTTTTACCAAGCACAGAGATGATTCCTCAAATCATTAACTAATTCTGGACTGATTACTTTTGAGACCACATTAGCAGAAATGTGCTAGCTCGCCTCTGTTCTTTCTCCTGCTCTCCAGTTCTTCTTTGGTTGAGGGTCCAAACCTGGGACTATGAATTCAGTATTTTACCAAAATGAGGTGTTCTTTGCTGTTCTCCTGGGTTCTCCATGATGTCATTTCATTGTCTTCTTTTTGTTTCCTTCTATCCATCATTCTCTTACCGTTCTTTACCTTCCTTCCCTCTTTTTTATCCATATAAATTTAAGTGGCAAACAGCACTGTGGGCAAGTTATGCTAGGCTGGAAGAAGAGGAGGGACACAACCCAACAGACAAACCAGGGAGAGCAGTTTCTACTGTTCCCCAATGTGTCTTTTAGCCCCATTTCTATAACATATATCTAGAAAGGATGCGAGCTGATGGGGAAATGCACAGAAATGTTCCACATTCAGGTGTTGGAAGAGAAACTGAGAAGCAGAGGGGCATCAGGAGCTAACCAACAAAACACAAGAAGAATAAGAATGAAACTTTCTTCAGGAACACAGAGATAAATGGCTGAGGAATAAAGTGGCATCTAGCATGCAGGTTACTCACACCACACCAAGGTAGAGGGGTGCTTGTTCCCAGTAACATTTTTCATACATTTCTGACCGTTCTGTAACTGAGGTTCTGAACAGTATTCTCATTTCTGACTACCTGTAATGTCTTCGATTTTATGATAATTGCTAATAGTTTGAGGTTTCACAGTTAGAGCTCAGAGAATGCATTCAACTTACATGAGAGGTATTTAGTCAGGTAGAAATGAATTTCCTACATATTTAGAACAACAGTTACTCAGCCATGTTGCATACATTGAAATAATGGTAATATTGGTATTGAACAGTTGAAAATAGCATTTGAACTGAATAACTAAACTTTATACTGTTATCTTCCTTTTCAGTTGCTTTCCTAATAACAGAGTAACGATAAACAGTGAAAATCCACAGTTACTTAAGTCAGTTTAAGTCTCACACAATGATGTTAAGCAAGTTTTCAAACACATAAGTTTCCACGTCACTGGTATATTGCAGCCGGTAAAACACAGAAATGAAAAATCACGTGCATTACCTTCTTCAGACTTGCAGTTTTCATTCATCAAGAAACAATGGTTTCAAGTTCAAAATATTATGATATATCTTATTTAGAAACTTTATTAACCTTATTTCAAAATTTATCAGTACGGAAATTAATTTCTTCACCTGTGCAGTGTAACAAATATAACTCAGTACTCTTTATCTTTCTGAACATCACCACAAGTTTAAATCTGGCAGGTGTCATGAGCAGCTCAGTTTTCTCCTACTTACAATTAGAAGGATGATCAGTAAGAAGCAACTGTGGGTTGTTTTTTTCATTGTGGAGGCTTCCTGAAGAGACACGGTGTAGTTGACCCTTCTGGGAATTAAACAACAACAAAAAGCAGTATTAGACTTTATTTATTAAGATAAATTCCTTGTCTTCATATATGAGCATCTTTTTAGACTTAAAGTGGACTCTGTGTGTGTGTGTGCGTGCGCACCCAGCCTTGTGTGTGCTCATGTTTGATTTCACTGGAGTCTGGCATGCTTTTAATTTGGTCTCTTCCACAGATCTCTGGTGTTGAGTTCAGCTGATGTGGGGTACAGCTCCATGTTACTGTCACCAGCAGCAGATCTGGACTAAGCTCTGTGTCGTCACCAGCTGAGGCTACTTTGGTTGTCCTGATTCAGCTCATTCTGACCTAGACATACAGCTACAGACCTATGAAGAATCTGGATATTTTAAAAATTATCTAAAACCACCAGAAAGATCTGGTTTGCAGATAAGCGTAATAACAGCTCAAAAGGCTTATTAATGGGGCTAGAGAAAGCCAGATGTTGGGTAACCTCTAGCTAGGTGAACAAGTGGTGGGAAAAGAAAGAGAAACTGGGAACAACGCCATGGGATTACACACTCCCTAATGCGGGTAGCTCAGCCGAGCTGCGGACAGACACACAGCAGTGTAATCCTCAGGCCATCAAGAACGATTGGTTCAGCTCCACAAAGTACTGGAGTGGCAGAGCGTGGACACGACTCCACAGGCTTGGAGGGAACTGGATCAGCAGCTTTTTGGTTTTCTTTTTTTTTTTTTTTCTTAAATCAACAACCATGTGGCCTTTCTGGGAAAAACACCCAGGGATCACCATGTATCATCCTATTGCTTCACAGTTGTGGGAGTTCAAGCAAGCAAAGCTCTTTGCATTAACACATCATTTTTCATTTTATAAAAATGGAGTTTCTGCATTAGAGTGAGAAACACGGCTTTTGTCAAGACAGAGTGCCTTCTGATGCCTCGTGGACCACGCCTGGTGCAGGGGCTGAGAAACATGCCTATAGATCACCTTCAGCCACAGTAAGACAGTGAGCACTCACACACCTTTATTTTTTAGAAAGCTTAAAAACTAAGAGTGAGGTGTTTTGTACCTGGGCAAACAACCCTACATATCTGAAACACAGAAATTTAATGGGAAAAAGGCACATGGACTTGGATGCTTAGTCTACTTGACATGTAGCGAGCAACACAATCACTTCTGTAACATTTATCTCTGCAACAGCACTGTAACAGCTTTTCTCATCTTGAAACAGTCTGGAAGGTCACCCATTTTCAGAGGGGAAGGAAATATGAGATCAATGGTAACTGTCTTCATCTAAAGCAGAAACATGTAATCCTAAAAAGTAATAAAGGTGTGGCACTTCCATTTAGCACATGTGGATGTAATCTCCTACCAGATCCACATGGGAGTATTGCAGTCATGTCACTGAGATTACATAAAGCACAAAGTGATGGAAAAGTGGGTTCAGAGGATTTGCCACTAATAACAAGTAGCCTTATTACTGTCTGAGCCTTGCCAGAACCGTTCTGGTGTGCCAGAGGTAATGGGACAGGCAAATGACACAGAAATAATATGTAATTACTCTGTCCGCCACATATTTGTATTTGATCAGCAATGGTAGTGAACTCAGTTGAAGCAAAAATTGGGCAGCTAGATCAGAGAAAAATACCTGGAATTGTCTGCATCTGCTTCTCCAGACTATTCACTGCAATGTGTATTGGTTCAAAACTGCCAAAAAGATTCATGGGCATATAAACAACGGGTCTTGGTCAGCTGTGCAATGAGCAGACATACAACACGAATATGGTGTTCATAGAGTTACGTGCTGTACTCTAAAGTGTTCTGTAGTGGGGTGTAAAGCTAGTCTGGCAGGTGCCTCTATTCTTGCTAGCCTCACTACTTCCACCGCTTCTATAGGGATTTGGTAAAAAGCAGGCAAAGGAAGGACTTTGCCTTACAAACTGTTGACACTTTTAAAATACACATCACTTTCCACAAATGGCACAGAGATCAACACAACATTCTTCCCTAGAACTCATAAGCAAAATCAATAGCAATTGAAGTTACCTGCAATACATCTACTTTTCCTGTACTTTGTGCTAGGAGTGCTTGCAGCACTATGTTGGGTTATAGCTGTAGCTGCAGGCAAATCTTATCCTCATGAGATTTTTGTGGACATTTGTTATTATGTACTGAAAGAGCTATTTAAAACATTTCTTGCTCCTGTCTCTCCTAATTAAAAAAAAAAGCCATCTGTAAAATATTTAACACATTATTTTCCCCCTCTGTTAACTGTGATGACTGTGCCATACGAGTAAATGAGTAAGAATTATTTCCCACGCTAAATCGTATATAGTCTTGATATTTCTAGTCTTTCTTCTTTTAGCCAGCTCTAACCACAGGAATGGCTGACATGCTACATAAAATCCAGTACCTCTTTTTTTCTTCCTCCTTCACAGGAGTCTTTTCCACTGATAATAATTTCAACAATTGTTGAACAATATTTTAACAATCCACCGATAAAGCTCCTGAGTAAGAAGTGGCTTTTCTCTACTTTAACTGTAAGAATGGCCCATAGCAGTATGTAACACTTGGGTTAGCATCAGTATTGGATCAAGGATGCTGATCGCACTGAAACGGAAAGGTACATGCAGGTAAAACATGTTGGTCAATGGGCAAGGCAGAAACAACAGGGAGGCAGAAAGATTCACAGAAAGGAGAGCCCTGAGAGACGGACCCTGTCAGCCTCCGGGCAGAGGAACAGACCAGCATTCTCCTCGGCTCTGGCCCCATCTCCAGCGATCCAGGTTCAGTTGTGACATGACAAGCAAGCTGGGATGTGCAAAGCAGCACCCTCAAGTGCCCTGGGGTTTGGGTCTTGTGGTAGAACTATCACTTTTTTACACCAAGTGGCACTACCGCCCATGGGCAGCCTGCCTGCAGCCAAAGGGCGGCTGGACAGCCCAGAGCAGCCTCGTGGAGAGCATAGGTGCTGCCCTGATTCCTGTTTCTATACTATTTATCAAACAATGTCCTTGCTTGATGTTAGGATAATATAATGTGCTTCACACATTTAAGTTTTACAACATCCTTATTTAGTGATTAATCATAAGCACCTTGCTAAAGCCTTGTACTTTTCCATGATTGTATTAATTCTTCACCCTCTGTTGCTTATAATAGTTATGTATGAAATCTCTGTCTGTTTTTTAAACTAGAATATTGTTTCTTCTTTCTTTGTAAATGTAGCATAGCTCATTATGTGCTAAGATATTCCTCCTGCTTCAGCTATTATAGTAATACCATTAACACCTTGGGATTACTCCTGAAGCTCATCTGAGGATGAGCACAGCATCCTACATAGTAATGACATCTCTTTTGGCTCTGTCCTGATTTCTGCAGCTGCAGTACTAAGCTGAACGGGCCTTCAATTACAATTACCATCGGGTTACCCAGGAGGTGGGACAACCCTCCCTGCACAGCCATTTGCACAAGGCCAACAAAGCGGGGTCAAATTCAGTCAGAAAGGAGGGTATAAGGGGGAAGATTCAAAAGAGGGCAGTAGAGCAACATTTCTTTGCTGAGGTCTGAAGAAATTATAAGAAAGGCAGGCCTTTTTTGGAGGGAGAACTGGAAAAAACTTCTCATTTAATTATTCTGCTCTGATAATTCTGCAATGCCATCTCTCACAATAGCGCTGACATACCTCTGGAGGAAGAAATGGTTTTAATAGCACAAACCAGGACTTGTGAGGGTTGTGGCTAAGTACAGAAGTGTGACACAAAAATACCTGTCTCAGTCATTGTCTTATCCCCAGAAACTTGGAAAATTCACTTGCTTCCTCCTTGTTTGGCTCCACATTCCTTAGACATCTTTCTTTCCATCCCATACAGCTGTCTCAGGGTGAAAAGCTGTGTACCCACCTGCAATGTCTCTAGGATTTGTTAGTTAGCAGAGGGGCCTGCAGACCCTCCTACGGAGTGCCTTGCCACTCAACACGAAGGGCACCAACCCACTCTGCCTGCGTTAACGCCGAATGGAGAAACACAGGGCAGAGGCACCAGGGCAAGACATGGGCAAGCCAGCAGACCTCGCTGCTGAGTGTTTAGGGAATTTGGATCCAAGGAAGAGGTTGAAGACCTGCTTGCATTGCCAAATGCACAGATAGTCTCAGGGAAAGCACTAAAATTGTCCCCTCATTCCCAGCTGGACATTTACTCCTGGGTTCCTAATTTAGGCTACTGCTTTGGGCCAGGAGTGGGCTGTACATCACACTTCTATAATCCCAGGTGCTGTGCAGACCAGCATTGTAGCTGTAGACCCTTCAGGCAGAGGAAATGCCATGGGTGTGATCTCCACGCATGAGAAGGGAACAGAGCCAGCCCCTCCTCCTTCCCAATCTCAGGCTCTAGCCATTAGCCTGGAATGGTCTGCAAATGGTTTAACTGGCACCAGGATCTTCTGGCAACCACATTTCCAAGAGAAATAGTGATCTCTACTCCACTCTTCCTAATATGCCAGAAAACTGGTAACCAGCAGTCCCAGGTGGACAAGCATGCCTCCCTACAGCCTCTAGTCAAGTGTCCAGGAAATGAGGCAAAGCAGGAGATATATCTAGAGTCTTGCATTCCTGTATTCCCTATTGGTTACCTTTACACAGCTCCTGGATCTTTTGTCTAACCCTCCTGAAGTTTTCATATGAAAATCTCCTGAGAAAGACATGTTCCAAATTCTCAATTGCAGGTGTAAGGCAGCTAAAGGCATTGCTACATGGAAATTGCAGGCATCTAGGTCACTTATCTCATTCCTTTTGGTAGTCTTGGAGATAATTTCACTATCAGGGAGCCAAATGCTATGTTGTGTGATGACTACTCAGTTGTTGCTCAAGCAGATCACCATTAATTTCCATTAGTTTGGCTGGTGGAGACAGTGAACTGCGTCTTGCAAGAGCTGAATGTGTGCTATGTTAACAAATTGAAACTATTAGCCATGGCAAATAGGTAATT